CTCTTTCTCTCTCTTTCTTCTCCTCCATCTCCTCCTTCTTCTCCTGCTTCTTGCCCTTCAACTGTATTTTTCTCCAGAAAAGAAAGTAGGTAGCAGATGGAGTTGGGAAAGGCTGGACCTTTGTTTAGGGGCAAACTTGAACCTAAAGAACACCTGCATTGTGTCCCAGCAGGATTCAACTAGACTGCCATGATCTCCTGCCCATGGTTTAGACCTTCACTTCTCTGAAGGCAGAAGATCTTCAAGTCATTTCCATATCGAGGTTTTCATCAGCTGTGGTCCAACCTTAAAGGAAAGAAGCAGTGGTGCAGGGCTGCCAGGGACGGTTGGGCAGGTCGTCCCCAACTCCGTTCAGATAGACCCTCCGTGGAAATGATGTGCTCTGAGGGTTGTGCCACGCTCCGCCCGTACAACTGCGGGTGGCAGCTTTGGAAGGGAACTCACGGGGTGAAGGAAAGATCGGAGAGCCGTAATTATAATAAAGGGACAATCTTGGCGATCTAGGTGGAAGGAACTAAAAAAAGTTTAGTTGAAGACTAGACTCATGTGTACTAGCAGCTGCAGTCTATTTCTCCACTCAGGACTCTGCCTCTGGAACAGAGCAAAGAGATGGAGATGGAGATGGTGATAGAGATGGAGATGGAGATTAAATGGTGATAGAGATGAGAAGGAGATGGAGATGGTGATGGAGATGAGATGGTGATGCAGAGATAGATAGATGGATGGATGGATGGATGGATGGATGGATGGATGGATAGATAGATAGATAGATAGATAGATAGAGATGGAGAGAGAGAGAGAGAGAGAGAGAGAGAGAGAGAGACTATAACCCTCTCTCATATCAAGCATTCCTACCCTCTTGTCTAAGGGGGAAGAGCTCTTGGAGTAACAGCTTTCCTCTCTTAGTTTAGGTTTTCCTTAAAGCAGACCCTAAAACAGGGGTCTGGATGCAGCGTTTTATTTGGGTGAGTGGGTAAGAAATGAGATGAGGAAGGGAGCAGGCAGTGAAGGGTGTGGTAGTGACAGGTCACCTCTGTGAGCAGCTGAGTAATAAGAGTGCTTGCCCAGAGAGCTGCTCTGTGAGACTCCACGAGCCCCTCTAGGAATCTGTGTAAAACCTACTCAAACTTGTCCCACCCAGGCAACAGGAAACAGGGGTATTTACAAACCAACCTCTGTCCCTCCTGTTTCATTCCCTGGCCAAGCACACTCCTGAGGCCAGAGAAGGACTTCAGGCGGAGGGACACAAAAGCTGAAGTGGGAAGTCACTGTAAGTGACCTGGAGGATGGGCCCAGGAGACAGGGCTGGGCATTCACAGTGTCTGCTGTGGTCCACCAAGACCACACACGATGCGGGAGAGAAGGAAAAAGAGAAGAAATAATGATAATGAAAGTAATAGCAATAATAATTAATACTAATTCACCCTTTTATTAACTAACAGCTAGCAAGCATTCCTTCTCCTCTGACAATGGGCTGAGTGCTTTATACTCATCGTCTCATGGAGCCTCATAGAGGGGCTCTCGGGGGCAAGTGCTCCTACTACCCTCATTTTGATGACTCAGCGGAGGGTTAAAGAAGTTGAGTGACTTACCCATGGTCACAGAAGCAGCAAATGGCAAAGTGAATCGTATAAACCAGGCCAGTTAGAGAGCAAAGATGAGATTCTTACAATTGCCTAGCTCAGTGTGTGTGTGTGTGTGTGTGTGTGTGTGTGTGTGTGTGTGTGTGTGTGTTTTGGTTAACAAGAGAATAATGGTTCACCCCAGGACTATCGCCTAACCCCCCAGTGGAGACAGAGCAGCATCAGACATCTCCTGAGGTTGAGGTGGAACATTCCATCCTCAGTACTCAGCTGACCGGTCCTGGTACCCAGCTCTGTCACTGACCAGGCTGCTGTCACCCCTAATGACGGCCATCCCTTCATCCTCAAAGTAGAACAGGTGTCCGCCTTCCTCAGAGACCCCATTTGATCAATGACCAAAAAATGAACTAGAGTTTGTCTTACTACTTCTATTCCTAATCGCAAAGATAATTCACCTTCATCATCACAAAAAAAAATGAGATTACCCAATAAAACAAAGAAACTTAAAAACTTACAGTCCCACCGCCGCTATTATTATTGGTTGTATATTCTAACTGGGTGCCCCCCCCCATAAGAGTGAAGAATGCAGGTGCATTTAATATAAGTGAGAAGCTACTTGTAACTGGCTTCTTTACTTACAGTGTATCCTTAATATCTTCTTAAATCTCTTCACAAATGGATTTTCAATAGCCATGTGGCATGCCACCGTACAGGCGTACACTGATCTATTTAACCAACCCCATATTAATTAGATACTAAAGCTGTCTCCAGTTTTTATGATTAAAAAATTCTTGAGGAACTTCTCGGAAAAGAAATACTGTGGACAGTTCTGATTATTTCCATAGGACCAATTCTCCAACGTGCAATTATCAAATTAAATGATTGGCACAGTTTTAAGGCTTTTCATATATTTTGCCAAACTCTCCTCCCAAAAGGCTTATCTATTTTTATTCCAACCAACAGTCTACAAGATATCCTACTTCCTCATTAGCGATCGGTATCATTGTTTTTAATATATACATTTGCTAAGCCAGTGAATAAAAACTATATTTAACTTGCATTCCACTGATGCAAGTCTTTCAAGCATTTATTGAGCATCTATTGTGTTAAGTTACTTAACTGGACATTTCCACACATATGTCCCTTAACCCTCTCAACAGTCCTTTGAAGCTGGTGGAATATTGCCTTTTAGTGAATGAGGAAGCTAAGGCTTGAATGAGCATAGGTTGCATGCTGAGCTGTGCCACACACCAGCTGTGTGATCTTGGGGTGTCCTCACCTCTCTGAGCTCAAGAAGACTAATAACCTGAATGTCTGGAAGTTCTGGTGACCCTTCTGCCCCATCACTTGGAGTCCCACACTCTAGTGCTCTGTGGGGACACAAAGGCCATTGACCTAGTTTCTCCATTTACTTGGAAAAAAGCCGAACTGTCATTTCTTTATAATAAACTCACACTTCTTGGGGATTCTTCCACTCAGAAAAGTCCCAGAGGATCTGATTCAATGAATAATTTGTAATCAACATGCCAGTATTCCTGTTTTAAGGGGATGTGACATTCTTGATCATTGGGATTTTTTAAGAAATTTGCATAACTAATTTACTCACCAATTCGCTGCTCTGTTCTGCCCCATATGTGTTACATAGGACCAACTCACTAATCCTAAATTTGTGGGTTTTAAGTAAATATCCATTGATGGTCCATAAAGTTGCGTGCTTTGCGACCTCCCAGATACTTGATTCCGGAAATTAATTCAAAGAAAGAGACCCTTCAGAAGACCAGGTGCTGGGTGTTACCTATAGCATGCCCGGTTCATTCCTTGGTCAGTTGGAATTCCTAGCGGTTTTCCTTTTGCAATGCTGACACACATTCAGTGAAGTCAAATGCCTCCCCTCCAGGGCTGCAGGCCAGTGGGTAGACATGTTCGGCTCTATCACACTCAAGCACAAGGGTTCTAAATAGCGTGAAACGAGCAAGAGAGAGCAGATGGGGCCCAAAAGCCACTGTAAGACCACTCCTTCCTTCCTCTACCTCGTTCCCTTCTATCCCGTCAATAGAAAGAACAGAAAAAAAAATGGGTGTTCAAGTCCCTTGTACTTTTTTAAGCACATGGTATTTATTAGGCATTAATTGGCACACAAATATACGAAACGAGTACTTAATTCTCCCCCTCCCCCCCTTAGCAACATAAAAGGACAAAATCACTTGAAGACACTCACGTACAAACATACTCACACACTCGCACGGACTTGGACATACTCAGCCTCGCATATTACCCTGTTCTTTTTATTAGGGTCAGTTTAAAAAAAAGAATTTTTTTTTAATCAAGAAAGCAAAGCACTTTTGAAAGAGGAAAAAAAAAAGAACGCAAACTTGGTTTTTGAGTATCAATAAAATTAAAAGCTCTTGACCAGCTCCCATGCTGGATTTCATGTTATTACTTAATTAGAACTCCTATTTATAAATAAATAGTACCAGTAAAATATTACATCTGAAGAACCCTGCAATAACGTTTTACTTACACACTTTTTTTAAACACTGTTTTCTGCTTTCCATAACCACAGTTTGGTGTCGGCATTGGGTGTGATTCCCTCGGAGAGAATGATGGATGAGCACGGTTTGCCTCTTCTTTAGACGTTGTGGCTTTGGCTTTGGCATCCCGTTGGACCGTCGGGAGATTTGCAGGCTGGGGGCTGGCTTTGTTTTGTAGCAGGATGAATATTGACTTTGGCTTTTTCACCACTCTTGTCAGCACGGAGCTTGCCCTTTGCTTATCACAGTTCTGCCTGCGTGTAACCCAAGGCTCTTTAAGTTTTTCAAAGCAAGCTTTCCGGCTGGGAAGCTATAGGCCACGTTTTAGTGACAGATGGCTGGGAAGACCCGGAGCTGGGAAGACGGGAGCGCTGAGTCAGATATGATGCCAGGTGGAGCCCAAGGTTATCCTGACTCCCCAGGGAGGCAGACTGGGCTCCGTGGTGACGGGGAAGGCAGGACATAATCAGAAAAAGCTGGGGACATAGGGGACCTTTTCAAAAACATCCCATGGCAGAGGTAGGTCATTTCTCAGTCAAGGGGAGGGTGGCGAATTTTGGTTTTAGGGGTGGCTTAGAGGAAGGGAACTCTACAAGTACATACTTTGAACTTGCCTCAGACCTCCCCCAAAATAAGGGACTGGGTCCCGTTAAGAAAAATTGAAAGAAAAAAAATATATTATTATTTATTATATAACAATGTCAACATTAACAGCAAGACAGGAAAAGCTCCAACTCTGCATTAGGATAACACACTCGATGAGGCAAGACTTGCTGGAGACCAAAAGAAGGAATCCGGGAGGCCCTCCGGAGGTGGTGTGAATGTGGCCCATGGATGATTGTGGTGGTTGTCGTGGGAATGGGACTCACTTTTGTTGTTGTTGTTGTTTTTTTTAAGTTTTGAGACGAAATGACAAAGTCACATTTTTTGAACTGTGGTTTCAGGCTACTGATTAGATCAGTGTCTGGGGGTCTCAAGTGCAGGCATGAATGTGGGGTGAAATGAAATACCTTGTCTGTGGGGTTCTCTCGGCTACTGTCTCTCTCCTGCTCTCTCTCTCTCTCTCTCTTTCTCTCTCTCTCTCTCCTCTCTCTCTAGCAAATGTCTGTTAAGGAAGCAGGCTTCGCTTTAGCTATTCTCGCTCCACTCTGGCACCATGCCAACCCCATGCACCGAGTGGTACTGGTGTGGGGACAGGGTCCTTGGCACGCCATGGGAGTAGAGGAACTCAGATGGTTGCAGGCCGCCAGGGGACTGCAGGCCAGTCTGAGGCCCACACTGCCTGACCACAGGCTGGTGGGCCACGGAGGTCTGGTGCTGGAACATCCCCTCCCCGAGCTGGGGGGAGCCGTGGTTGGCGATGCCAGCCAGCCGGGGCACCAGAGGCCCCGAGGTGAAGTGAGCCGAGAAGTGTTGGTAGGGTAGCCTGTCCATGGGCTGCACGGTGGTGACCGTGCAGCTGCTGTAGGAAGGCATGCTGGGCCACGTGTTGCAGCTGATGTCCTCCAGGCTGGGCACAGGCTCGCTGGGCGGCGCGGAGCTGGCATACATGCAGGCCTGGCGCTGGGCTGACTCTGTCCTGTAGGAGGCACTCAGGCCCTGCTGCTGGGGGTAGCTGGGGCGATAGAATGGGTCTTCTTCACTGGGCGATGTCTCCATGTAGGGCTTCTTGTAGGGATGGTCTGCGGTAGAGCATTCTTCATCTGCTAAGACAGGAGGAGAGAGACCCATGAGGCCAGGACCAGCCACCCCACAACTAAAGGCAGAGACAGCCATTTGGCTGAAGGCCTGAAGAATCAAGTCTCTTAAGACTGTAAGCCCAGGCCTCCATTCTGATACAAAGGGGTGGACTGTCATGGGGAGGACCTTGGGCTGTGGTGTTCTAAGCAAAGTCTGACCTTTCTGAACTCAGTTTCTTCATCTGCAAAGCATAAAGGTTAATAATGGCATTTTTCTACACAGGGAATTGTTGAGAATGAAATGGGAGAATGTGTATTAGTCCAGAACTTGGTACAAGGACACACTCAATAAATAAGAATTATTGTTATTTATTATCTTCCCTCCCTGGCTTGTAAATTCCACGAAGGCAGGGCATTTCCAGCACCAGTTCACACCTAGTAACAAAAATAATAATAAAGTCAACACTCACAGTAGAAACAGCACGTGGAGTGTTTTAGGTACCCTCCATGAGATAACGCATTTAATCTTCACGACAGCCCTACGAGATGGGTTCTATTATATCCCCATTCTCCAGAGGAGAGAAAGGAGACACCGAGAGGTTGATAAACTTGCCAAGGGCTCATATGGCTAAGAAGCAGGGGAACTAGGATCAGAATCCAAGTAATCTACCTCCGAAATCTCTGCTAATACCATGCAGTACGGAGAAGGCATGCAATAAACATTTGTGCAATGGGTGGAAGGGTGGATAGGCAAGTGGACAAATGGATGGGAGCTCAAATGAATTAATTTCCAAATCCTTTCCTGAAGACTTATGCAAGCAAGTGCCTAGTTAATATCTGCTGAGTTGGTACAAATTAATGTGTGACTGTTTTGCTGCTAATCAAGGCACTTTGTTCACTAGTGTTCCCTAGTGGGGGAAGGGGGATAGTTCTGACCACTTCAAGGTCACAGACCCCTCTGGAAACTAACAAAAGTGCTGATCTCTCTCCTAGAAAAATATACTAACACAAAGCTTGGAGAATGGAGTACACACACAACTTCCAGGGCCTCAAAGACTCCCTAAATCCAGACTCCAAGCTAAGAAGTCTAGATGTGTCTGGGTTTGAATCTGGTCTTCTACTTCATATCTGTGCCACACCAGCATTTCAGAGACTAATTTTCACCATCTCTGAGTCAGAGTTAGGAATACTTACTCCACTGGATGGCGAAGAATTAAATGAGATGAGACATCTTCAAGGGCACCAGTCAATCTCGTGGCAGACCCGATCTATAACAACACACCTCCAGGTGCTCCCTTCAGGGGAAGCAAAACTGGGGAATTTCTCCCCAAGTGTAAACCTCAACCCAGATTCATCCTTTAGCTGGAATTCTACACTCAAACTGGAGATTGTCTTTCTTTGTCTTCCAATTGCTTTCTAATCAATAAATGTTAAGAAATATTTCTGTCTTGCCCTAACCCAGTGGTTCTCAACCTTCCTAATGCTGCAACCCTTTAATACAGTTCCTCATGTTGTGGTGACCCCCAACCATAAAATTATTTTTGTTGCTACTTCATAACTGTAATTTTGCTACTGTTATGAATTGTAATGTAAATATCTGATATGCAGGATGTATTTTCATTGTTACAAATTGAACATAATTAAAGCATAGTGATTAATCACAAAAACAATATGTAATTATATATGTGTTTTCCGATGGTCTTAGGCGACCCCTGTGAAAGGGT